AGTAGAATTAATTAGATTTACTATGAGGTGTGTATTTACTATACTGTACCTATATGCAGACATAATGTTGAGCTGAAGGAAGGTCATATTTCATGAGTTCACACACTGATCCCTTATATTCATAACATGATATTCAGAAAGGAAAATATATATCATCCCTCCCTTTTCAAAACTGCTTGTCAGGAGTAATTCTAGGATCAGAGGTTTAGGGTTGCTGAGCTCTCAGCCAAGCACAATAAATTCCGCTTTTTGTACATATTAATGTAGTTTTCATTCCCACATTTATGAAAGCAAAACAGAACACTTTGAGGAAAGTCGATGATGAAACAATGGAATCATAGAAGGAACATACTGGAAGCCGACAAATATCTGGGGGAATACAACAATACATTTTTACACAGCAGCACTTGCATACACATAAACAATCTGATTTTTTTTTTTTCTCGAGTAAACCAGGCTCCTATAGCGAGTACTAAAATACCAAAGATGAACCGTGGACTTATTTTTTTAGTGACTTTTATACGAAATTCCATGCACAACATGTAAAACACAGTAAGAAATTGACTTTTGGGAATACTTTGAACATCCTTTCTTTTCTTATCCCTCTCTTTGTGTCCCAATAAGAGTTATGTTAATGGGAATCCAGTCAATTTAGCATACAATAATGGCTTTAATATGAACATATGCACCTGAAACAGCAGCTCGCATCTCCAATTTACCCCCCATAACGTACTTTAAAATCGGAGTGTGACAAATTACTTGGCACGCGCCTTAAAGACTAACTTGTGCACAAAAAAATAGTATTTATTAAAGTTATATTTATTTTGATGAGGATTTTTCCCTGTGTTAACTGTAAAATGTAAATTTTGATTTTTATATTTTTTCATGTATTACTGTACAACTACAGTACCGGTATGTGAAGCCCTTCTTAAAATCCTCTCTGTGAAAAGTGCAATGTAAATAATTTACAATATAAAATAAATAATATTTTCAAGTTTTGCGAGTGTATTTTTTAAATACTATTTTTGATGTTACTGTGATTTAAAAGGTTACATGATAATGGTAACCCTTAAAAAGGAAACCTAAAAACACCTTGTACACAGGCTACATCATACGAAAATTAACACATTTTAAAAAGACAGATTTCCTACGAAATTTACTGTAATACACAAACAAGACCAGTTTTTACACGATTAGATTTCAATATTTTTATCAGAGGAAATTTGTCTTTTAATATGTGATGTAAAGCGTACAAAAGGTTGACAATAAAGCAAATTCGCACCATTGGTGATATAACCATCAGCCAGAATGAGGAGTGAATTTTAATGTTAAGACAATTTTTGAAAAAATAACAAACATGACCCTTTTTAACCATAAAACACCCTCCCACCATATGAAAAACCAACCTCAGTCGAAAATCACAATGTATCACATCTGAGTAGTAGCACAAGAAACTACATATTACAGTACAGTATATCATTGCAACAACGCTGAAAACAATTGCTGGCCACATGCATCCAGCCGAGCTTGTAAACAAATTCTGATCCAGTTGATTGGAAACGTACATATTCCCCCGTTATGGCTTGATTAGACATTTGGACTAATACTGGAATGTAATTTAAGAGACAGTTTGAAAGACTAAAACCTATTCAATCTTCAGAAAATAAATATTTGGAGCAAGTGTTAATTAAATACCTCTTACAAAGGAACCTAAAACCCAAACTACCATATATGAACATCCCCCCGTGTAGAAAATATTCAAATCGAGTAGAAATACAACAGCAATAGCAATGGAAATTAGTACAAGTAATCACGTAAAAAAATCCAGTTCATGGCCAAATATGAAGACTGGTGACCCTGTGTTATCCTTACAATTGTGTGAAGATGAAGACACGGTAAACTTTTTCCCCCCCAGATAACTACAACTAGAAGACAATAATTATCTTATTTTTTTCTTTTTAAATACGCACCAAAGAGGTACCATTGTGTAAACTACACCCACAATAGTAAACACATTCTTACATTAATGCCACTTTTCAAAGAACTCCATGTTATTAAAAATGCAATACACATTTGGACTTCATGTTGTGCGTATGTGTGTGTGTTATGTGTGTGTGTGTGTGTGTGTGTTTTTAGACCATTTACGATTGGAGAAAAAGCAGACCAAAAGCCAGATGAATTCCTGAATGTTTCCGTGACACATTAATTAATATCATACACTGACAAATGTGGCATTTCAAAGGATAGACCCCCTCCTCCCCCCATTATAAAAAAAAAAAAAAAAAAAAAGTTTCCCATTATACGTGTTTGTTGGAGTGACGCCGAAAAGCAGAGTGCATTCCAGTGGAAGCGTGTGGGTGTCCTCTCTCCTGGCGCCGAGCACTTTTAATCATCCTGTGAGATCCAAGACAGAAGACGAACATGATGAGGGAGTAAACACATAATAACATTGAAGGCCATAGCATACCGTGAAAAACGGACTTTTTAATTGACTGTATGTACAAAATTGGGTCTGTACAGTGCTTGCCCACCCATTAGGTGTGAAATGAGCATATGAACTGCTGCATCCGGCCTATGTGTCCTTTAAGATTCCTCAAATTGATCAATAAAATGTAAATTTAAGTCATACTTTGACAACCCCCCCCCCCCAAAAAAAAAACAACAACAACCAAAAGGCATAAATATTCATTTATTCATTTTCCGATCCGTTTTATCCGAACAAGGGTCGCGGGGGGTACTGGAGCCGATCCCAGCCGTCTTTGGGCAGTAGGCGGGGGACACCCTGAACCGGTTGCCAGTCAATCGCAGGGCACACAGAGACGAACAACCATCCACGCTCACACTCACACCTAGGGACGATTTTGAGTGTTCAATCAGCCTGCCATGCATGTTTTTGGAATGTGGGAGGAAACCGGAGTACCCGGAGAAAACCCACGCAGGCCTGGCGAGAACATGCAAACTCCACACAGGAAGGCCGGAGCGGGGATTGAACCCAAGACCCAAGGAGTAAATATTTTGCTCAATATGATTTGCGCTGGTCCAGTGGTTAGCGCGTCGACCTCACAGTGCAGAGGTGCAGAGGTGTGCAGAATTTGCGTGTTCTCCCCAGCCTAGCCTGCGTGGGTTTTCTCCGGGTACTCCGGTTTCCTCCCACATTCCAAAAACATGCATGGCAGCTTAATAGAACACTCGAAATTGTCCCCAGGTGTGAGTGTGAGCATGGATGGTTGTTCGTCTCTGTTTGCCCTGCGATTGGCTGGCAACCGGTTCAGGGTGTCCCCCCGCCTACTGCCCGAAGACGGCTGAGATAGGCTCCAGCACCCCCTTGTGAGGATAAAGCGGATCGGAAATGGATGGATGGGATGGATGATTTGCGCTGCCATTAAACTTACAGTATGCTCAATATTTCCCAAACTCCCCATGAACCTTCCATGAATATCTGGAAAATTTCTGTATACTTACAGGAAACGTTCCACCTTTTTGTAACCTTGCACATCAAGTTCTGTCTGGTGCAATTCCTAACTTTGGCACACTTCATTCTTTTGAAACTGTTGCGAACGGTTTAAGGTGCGAAAAGTATGACGTGCTAAATTTGAAAGCGGCTAAAACCTCACACAACACAGAAATCGTCATCGTTCTGACAGAGGATTCGTTTTTTTCCGCACTCACCCACTCGTCGTCATCGACCCCCTCGAAGGATTCCTGCGGCAATGGATCATCCATGTTTCCCAGCTTGGCAACCATGGCCTCCAGGAGCTGCCGCGCAATTGGTGTCAAATTACAAAGCAGACATCAGGTACATCCGTACGCTGATGGTTTATTCCGATGCAAACGAGTCCTACTATATGTGTAAACTCACCTCCTCTTTTTTCTGCTCGTCAGTCTTCTCTTCCAGGTAGAAAGTCGAGGGCATGTACTTCCTCACCGGGGCCTCTTTGGGGGCTTCGCTGACTGACAACACATCAGCAAAACTTCATGTTGACAGCCAGAGAGAGGAATTCATAAACGTGTACCTGGCGTCATGTCAGCGGGCCTCATGCTGATCTTTCTGTGCTGGCCGTCGGCGTTGTTGAGCCAGGCCGATGCGCTCAGCGCTGGCTCCCAGCACGCTGGCGTGTCTGGGTACAAGTCATCCTGGAAAAACTCTCTCTGCATCGGAGGACACAGAGGTGTGCAATTCAAAAGGGTGGAGGCATTACAGCAATGCTAGCTTTGGTGCCAGAAGGGCAGGAGATGGCTCCCAAGCAGCACATGAAGCGCTTCAACTCACTTCAGTGTAGTTCCTGGGCACCAAGATGCTACAAGACACCATCAAAACACTTGCATTGAGGTGCTCAACTCACTTCATCATAGTAACTTGGCACCAAGATTGCGCCAAAGCATAACACAAAGCTCATCAACTCACTTTAACAAAGTTCCTTGGCATCAAAATGGCACCCAAGAACCACATGAAGCTTCTCAACTGACTTCAGCTTAGTTTCTTGGCTTCTGGATGCAACAAATTGGAACCGACGCACTAGATGATGCTTCTTAACGCAATAGAACACGGATAAATGGAACGGACTCGAGTCCACTCGGTGTCCTCGTTGGCTCACCTTGACTCTTGGCATCTTGAAGACCACCGGCTCCACGGTGGTCTTGGTGAGCATCAGGGCCACCGCTATCTCCACCTCGCGCACGTTACACTCGCTCTTAGGGAGGAAGGCCAAGCCCTGCAGGCGGCACAGCAGATAAGTTGCAGACACCCTGGACCACGGCAGCATTTGAAGATTCGAGCACTTAATTTACCTTGTGTGGCTCAGGACTCTTAAAACTGCTGCACTCCTCAAAATAGGGGTCCTCAGGGACGATCTCATAAATGTGCACCCGGGTGTCCCCCTTGAAGACAAAAACAACCCTTGACTACTTAGGTCACAATCTTATTTTCCCTACCGCCAAAGTCCTCCTTACCTTTCCAGTGAGGAAAACCACTCCGGTGTCTTGGTCGTAGAAAGGGATCAGTGTGGAGGGGGAGACGTCCACACAGACGCTGGCCACCACTCCGGAGGAAAGAGAAGCGGCGGAGTACAAGTAGAGGGCTCGCTCGCTGCTGCTGCTCAGGAACATACGCGTGATAGTGTTCAATCAAAAGTTTGACTTTTGAATTGCTTCAATGCAAACAGTTGGGTCTCTGAAGGGCCTGCCCTCCTCTCCACTCAGGAATGAAACCCATCCATCATCTGAACTGCTTATCCTCACGAGGGTCACTGGTATACAAACTACTCAGTAAATCTCTTATTTGGATTTATTTTATTTTTTTTAAAAGGTACATGTAACGCAGCATCACCGGCACCATGTATCGAGCACGGGGGTCGGCAACATGCGGCTCCAGAGCCGCATGCGGCTCTTTAGCGACATCTAGTGGCTACCTGGAGCTTTATAAAAAATGTTTGAAAATGGAAAAAGATTTTGATAGTAGGCTAATGTAGCTCAAATAGATACATGTTGCAGCTCCGAAAAAGTACAGCTGTGGTGTTGGTTTTTTAAAACGTACACTTTATTTATGCTTTTACCAGTCTCGAAAAACACAGACACGTCTGCGTCCGACTCCGTGCCTTCTCCCTTCTCGTTCGACTCGAGAGGTGTTCAAAGACAGCCTCCGAAAAACTGAAATTAATGATCACTTCACTGACACTAAAGCCCCGTTCACACGGCAACGTTTGGTCCGACGCAGCTCCGAAATAAATCCAGTTGAGCATTCACACGTGCACATTTGCTCCGGCGTAGCTCCACTAAAGAGCTTATACCGGACCAAATTTGATCCACCTCAGGGAGGTGGTTTAAAAATTTGCTCCAGAGCAAATGCTCGTTTGCGACGCTACGCCGAAACAAATGTGCACGTGTGAACGCAGCTGGATTAAATTTGCTCCAGAGCAAA